GACTGACTGACTATTTCTCTCTCTCTCTCGTTAAAATCTTAATATAAGTTGTACACAAATTGAAATTTCTAACATTTTTACAATGTAGAGTAAGTTGTTTTTTGCAGAGAACAAAAAGATATGAGTAACATAAATTTTGTTGTTGATGAGATAATTAAGTCAAAAACCTTGATAATGAAATTCTAAGGTATTTTATTTTATTTACAAGAGAATATAAGAAATGATGTGTATGAACTGCAATAATCATAAATATCAACATTATAAAATTGTTAATTAACAGACAAAACAATCAAGTTGTAATCGGTAGATGTTGTTGTCTAATGAGAGGTCAACTGTGTGTGTGTGCGCGCGCCTGTGTGTCGCCTGATCTTTCGCTAGTAATTACTATGCATCAGTTTTGAACATCTATGCCTTTCTTTAATTTTCATTCAAGAGTAGTGCTTCTCTGAAGATGACTAACTCTCACAGTTTGACTACATTGTTTTAGTCAACTGTTTTTCCTCAAAATCCACTAGAATTAAAGATTATTAAGATGCTGTAAATCATGCTAAATGTCAGTCAGAGAGTTACAACGTAGAACTTTGTACGTATGTACATCAGTTCAAGTTTGAGGATATTATTCAAGAAGTAGAATTGAATGAAATAAACTTAAAAATAAAAAGATAAAAGTGATCAGGAATTTTAGAAGATTAGGATTCAAAAGAACACAAAGAATGGATGCATCTGTGCTATTGCAAACGATTCAGAGCCATGTCATTCAAGGTCTCGAACCATCGATGACTATCGTCTCGCGGACCCCAACCAGGTAGCCTATATCTACCAACATGACTCAGTCCACTTGTCAGTGACTTCACAGATTTCTGCCATGTTTTGGTTTGGCCGCCCTTAGCTTCCACCCAACCTACTCCTACACCATAAAACATAGCTTGTCGAGGCAGTCGGTGGTTGGGCATACGTAACACGCGTCCTAACGACAGCATCGCTTACTCGGTTGTCCCATGATATACGAGCAATGCTTCAGAGACACCTATGATCAAAGACAAGCAACCGACGAATGTCGTATATTCTCACCAACCATGTTTCGCATCTGTACAGTAGGACGGAGCTAACTTCCGCGCAGTACACTCGTCCTTTGGTTAGCGAACGGATATCTCGCCTGAGCCACAAGTCATCCTGAATGGCAGGATATAGTGAGATTTTTTTAAAAGCACATCAGTAAATGAGAGAGTATGTCAACCGATTGAATAATAGTAAAATACACGTAAAGGATCATTGCATTCAAACAATTACGAAGATATTCCACCAAAATCAATACTTTTAGTCAGTCAGTTACAACCTTAGGAACAGTTGCATGTCGACAACCCTATTCATGTCGCTGTAAATAACCATACATTCATCATTGGTAAGTGTGACGGTCGGTAATTGAAGTAAATGGTTATGAGGGGATTCCGAAGTTTGATGGTTAGCAAGTTTAAGTTGACGAATTGATACAAGAAGCAATGGTTGATAGACGATACTCAATAAAACTAGGTTGATTGATAGACAGCTGACTAGTGAGAAATAACTAAATTTTTCCATGTGCATTTTTCAACTCAAAAGTCAACCACAATGAAAATGACTATTTTCAGTCAGTTCTAGATAGAGTAGGATTTGCCATCAGCCGAAATCCTCAAACATTACGTCAAGACACTAACATGATGAGTAAAAACAGGAATCTACATGCCGACATGAATGAAAAGACAGAATACGACCATTAGCTGGCAATTTTGAATTGTCTCTCTAAAATCTACAGTCATTACTTAGAAAATTACTCATACATAAGTGTTCATATAATCTCGATGTGAACATTCAGGAATAAGGTTTTGTGTACATCCTAAAGAGACTGGATAGATTTTGAGTGTTAGTAGCAAAATTATACCCAATGAACAAGTTCGTGATCAGACATGGCTGAGAATATAAGCCGATGACAGTCCTGCTGTAAATTCCTTTTATTTTCTTTACATAAGTAAAAGTAACATATCTTTCCGACCATATTTTTCTTAACTGAATTGTTTCTATCATTAGTATTTTACTCTTGTGTACTAATTTCCACCCATTGTTTTGTTATACTCATCGTTTTTAATCTATCAGTCATTCAGATGCAACGTAGAACTTTGTACATAAGTACATCAGTTCATGTTGCCATACAACATCAGCACAGAGAAGTAATCGACAATTCAAATCCAATAGTAGTTAGTAGAGGTACTAAAGGTATTAGAAGTAATCGGAGAGGTTAGGATTAGAAGATACTATTCAAGAAGTATGATTAATTGAGAAAATTTTAGAAAGTCAAAACTAGAGGTGTTGAAGAATCCAGAAGATTAGGATTTAAGAGCGAACACAAAGAATAAATGCACCGGCGCCATTGCGAACGATTCTGAGCCATGTCATTCAAGGTCTCTAACCATCGATTACTACTATCATCTCGCGGACCCGACCGAAGCTGCTACCTTGACGTGGTGGTCGGGCTTGCCTATCGTGATGACCCAACCGAGCTATACTGGCTGGAACATATGTTCCTGCAGGTCCTACCATGCCAGGCAGGTCGATTGGAGAACGATGAGACTAAAAGCAGCTACCCAAGGTCTGAGGGCGAAGTCGTACTGCTGACTGTAGAGGGGTGTGACAGCAGTAAGGTGTTTCCCTCGGACAAGCAGCATCTGCAGCGATGCTGCCTTCTCACAAAGAAGGAAGGGTTAGAAAAGGTCGGCCCTAAAAATGTCACACCTCCCCTAACTCACGGATTTCCGTCTCCCTGGGTAAGGGTGCCCACTTGGGGCCTTAAGAACGGAGCTAATCCTCAAAAAAAAACCTTTTAATCTATCTCTTCACAATTTCATTCTTATTGTGTGGTGAATAGATGTTTTGGTGTCCACTTGTACCAATAGTTGTAGTTTAAATAAAAATCTATGGCAAACATCAACAAGAATTCAAATATACCCAACTGATAAGCAACGATTAAGATGAAATAGAAGATCTAAATAGCAATGCTAATCACAAGTCAATTTGTTACAAATTGATAATTCAAATATGATACAGAAAAATATGCATATCAGTTTCAGCTTACCTTGTGTGTTGGTAGAGGATTTTCTATAGAATAACAAATGAGTGATACGAAATTTGACTTTGTCAGTAATTTAGTAAGTTCTTGACTTAAATATTGAGCCTATTGTAAAGTAGTTAGTAGGACAAACAAAGTAACAAACCTGATGAATGTCTTTTTGTGATTTATTCTCATTTAAATAATCAACTAAAGAGAATAAACAACGTACAAAGTGACGTTCTGTTTCTAATGTATGAAGTTTGATTATCTAAAATAGAAAAGATGAAGGAATTACAGTGGTTTATTTTTAAAATATACATTAATGGAATTTATAAAGAGTTCAACTCGCAGCATTTAGGTCGATTCTCGAGTTCGCCAAGATGTTGAGTGTTGAAAAGCTAGTTAAGAGAAACCTATTTTCTTAGTCTTACAGAATGACTAAATGTCATAACCATAGTATTTAGATTACGCAACAATAATTTTAGATACGATATGTCCCCATTTTCCTTCCTCTCCAGAACAGATTCACGAAGAATACTTTGGAAACGTTCACAAACCCAAAACCAATAAATCACTTGCTGACTACAAATTTACCGTGCTGAAGCCAAGGATGCTAGTGGAACCATCAACCACTAGCATCCTTGGCTTCAGCACATGGCCAGAACTCCATCTGTGGATGCATTTAACAGGAAGTTGGACCAGCTGAAGGACCGTTATTGCCAGAACGAACACAGACTATTCAACCTTTAGTCATTCAGAAACCGAATATTGGACTGAGGCGAGTACGTAGGTGAGGATTACATATTCTGGGACCATGATAAAAACGTAACCAACGGTTAGAGCTAGTGAAATGCTTTAAAATCTTTCTTATTAGTGAAGATGCCTCTACTATTGATCTTCTCTTAGATTCTAAGTTTCTAAAAGCTTTGTAGACTTTTTTTTATCTCACTAACCTAATATTTTCCTTAAATCGTATCTTTTGCTGATATTTCTAATGCAGTTACAATCTTTATTATTCCAAGATTTGCTTTAACAATCTCACCTCTATGCACTAATGGATTGTGTCACCATTAACTGATGTACGCATGTACCAGTTTCTACAAAATGTCTGATTGCCTAAAACTGAAATTTCTTGATATATTTTGGGGAATCACGCAACATGGAACAATCTTACTCCAGTTTGTAACACATTGCCGTTTCACGAATTCTAACAGTTTTTAATAATAATTAACTCTAAGGAATTCTTGCAACTTTAAAATAAATGATTATTGATTGTGAGAAGCGGGTCTGTCTGACGGACATTTAATAACAACCATCTATAAGCATTATGTCATAGGCTTAAAATCACAAAAAGAAAAACGTGTTAACATTTACGCTCAAACTCGTCTGATAAAACAGTACATAACCAAAGACTGTTGGTAGTTGGTGTTACAACAATTTTATAAGATTATATATCTTTCGTTTACTTATAGTACTTAATAATTCCTCATTGTAACAACTATTGAGTTCTACTTAGTTGCGAAAACAAGAAATCTTTATCTGTGTTATACCTCATCATAAACCAACCGAAAATAGTGATCAGAGACCAGTAATTATATAAGATTAAGACACGAAAATTCCTGACCTTACCTGATTAATCTCAGATTGGTTTGTTTTGTGATTCTTCTTATTTCGAAAATAGACTAAAGATTCTATTTGAGAAAAGACTGTTGAAAGTAAGCTAGGAGAAAACATTTCCCAACACAAGCATATTCGGACCCGTCGAATAATAAGTGTCCTTGTTTAATATACAGTCTCACGTCGAAGTTAATGGTCCCGTAACATCAACAAGCCAACTGTGGCGGTTAACTTGAGCATGCTACAATGAAGATTGAATCGGAATTGAACGTTTCATTGAATAATTTTCTCTTCCGTTTATATATTAGGGCTAAGTGTTAGTTATAAATTATGGAGGAAAAATTAAGTAACTTGATTGCTTTAATGAAAGTTGAGATATCGGATTTTTAGAATAAGTGCAGAGCGACAACATTTGGGTGTTTCGTTTCTTCACAGCATACTTGGTGTTACGATTTATAGTTTTCCAATCAAAAAACCTTTTATTAAGTTGCACCTGTTAGCAACATGGATTATTTAACGTGATTTCTTCCTTGTTTTATGCAAAATTCACATAGTGTAGGCATAAATCAGCTTTGTACCGGAAGTGGTAATATAGACCTTCGCCGTTTTTCGTTACCCTACCAGTTTCACCGGACATAATACTTATTGCAGAATTTGAGTAAAACATCTGCATCAAATCATTTCGGTACGTGGTGCTTAGCATCTCCCACAACGACTGACCAGCCTCTACTCCATAATCTACGATACCCTAGCCAAGTATCAAATATTCTTCCAAGTTTCCTCATCCTCTACTTAAAGTTTTAATGGCATTGGGATTGTTGCATTAGAAAAGATTTATTCAGTCTAACTGACCCATTCTGTTTATCCGTTTTCCTCTTCATGTGTCAGAATATAGGCAAGGAGTTCTAAAAATTTCTCGTTGCCTTTTGAAAAGAACATTTAATACCGGTTAGGAGACAAAATGGAGATGTTTTTGCGTTTGTTTTTATACTAGTTACATTACTGACCAGCATTTAAGAACAGGTCACACGTGCAAGCGGTACATTATTCACAGAATGAAGAGTAACCTAAATAATCCTCCGGTCTATGTTTAGGGTTCTGATTTCCGTACCAAGTATACGATTCTGACCAAAAAATTATTCCTTGAAAGGTCAACCTTGATCACGCCAGAATTTGTTGTTAACATGAAAGCTTACTTGCAGTTCCTTTTACTAGTAAGGTCGACGACAAGCCCTCATGTTATTGCAGTGATCCTCTGAAAAGACAAAGCCACGTTAATTGGAAGATACATAGGCAGAACAAATTAGGGTTACACTTAATCGGGTTATGGTAGAAAGTAGTATTTCGGAGATGCACTTGCCTTAGGGCAAAATGAATAGAATTCCCTGGTAAAAAACATAAAACCGAGTCTGCTGTGAAGAGTGGGCATAAAGTCAGTCATCCCTTGTTAAAATTAGCTCTGTTTAATACAACTTGGAACAGTCAAGGTGACAACATTTGGTTTCCTGCCAGCTCAAAGTGTATAGTGTATTTGCTGGCTTCCTTGCCTTTCTGATAAATGCAGGATGGAAATTGTTGACAAACATTTCTATCGACGGGTCATTACAGTTATCATGTGTTGTCCAAATGAAGCTTCTGCATTCTGTTTTAGTCCTTTCTACTCGTTATCACGTAGTTCGAATACAGTTTCTGGTGAAATAAGGGTGGTTTTCCAACATTCGAAGTTTCATTAAATAGGTGCTTCCAGGTTTCTAATGGTGGTCTAACAATGATGATTGATTACTGATTTCAAATGTGTAAAAACGCAAACCTCCAAAACTGTGCCCCAAAATAGGTAAAGCTTTAATGTCATATGTGCAGATAGTGTGTACTCATTAAAGCCATTTACAGGTTGAAGGGTTACTGTGTTATGCGTTACAATTGTATTCGTTGTTTCTAAATGTACGTTTAGCGTTAAGAATGCCTAAAGCTATCTTCCCAATTATCTAACCAAGGAAGTATATATTGTCATGTAACTGAGAATGATTGTTGTCAATCACCGCTTCAAGTCACTTTATGTGACGGCGAACAATAAATAAGGTCCTTTGGGATAGTTCTCGACCATATGTGTTCTACAAGCTATCAGTCACTGAAGTGTGAGATTTTCTTCTAAGGAGTCGTATATTTTGGCTCCGACACTGAAACAGTCATCTACGAATGACCATGTAGTTGAATGAGTGAAGGATACATTTTACAGAGAGGTGAACAGCAGTTATTTAAGCTATCTGAAATACAAGGTTGTCAAATATGTGTAGGTAAATATTATCAAGATAGCAGCTCCGAGAGCCATATATTAAATACGTCATTCTGAGAAAGTACTATTCAGAAGACAGTAGTCTGAGTCACCATTTTAGTAATTCAAAGGTGGCTAGCATTGTATGAACAGTGTCTCTTGGTGTCATGGATTGAGTTGACATATAGCAAGGATGAGGTGGCGCTAAAAATAGTCACTTCATGAATATATTTATAAAGAACATACGTTCCTATCTGTTATTACAAGCCCTTTTAAAGATTATATTTTGAGGCGACAACGTGTGAACTTTCAGGCGTACTACCGGCTTCTAATATACTAACTGATGTTGTATACATTCGAAGCACAGCTTTATTCACCGGAACTTCACATCACCCGTCATTTTCCTCACTGAAAACTTGCGGGAAGTTTAACTACTTAAAGCAACGTGGTTTAGCTTCAACCATTTAGATGGCTCCCAAAATAACGTTCGCATAAGAACTTACTGATAAACTGATGATTTCGAAAAAGTGTATAACTTTAGACCTCGAGCTCAAACAGGAATTACACAGCAGATTTATTGCCAGCTAGATGAATCATCTAATATTTGGGCAATATTAGTGCAAACCACCACTTTATTCCCATAGCACAATATTTCCAATAGACATTTCTTGTTCAATAGTACAGAAATAATGAACAAATCATTATTGTTTCATTTACACCTGCATTTCTCAATAACTGTAGTAGAAGTCTCCGCTTCGGTTATGTTAGGTGACATAATAGTGAGAACTAGAGGTCACCGAGTCTTTTATCTGCTGTGAAATGGAGCAACTGAGGAAGGCTTAGTATTTTTTGTTGCCTCCTAGGCCATATTATTATTATATAACGACATGAGATTGCCACGAGACGGTTTCAGAGTCGTCTGCAAGTAACTTCGTGGCCTTTAAAAAACATATTACAACAGTGCTTGTTGTTGAGACTCAACAACCTCACACCTCATTGCATACTTTTGAACTTAATATATAGTTATCTACTTTGTTTCCTTCTAATATAAGCCATTAACTTTTCGCCTAAGTCATCATTTGGTTAGCACAGGGGAGTTTATTTCGGGAAATAATGGTGTCATATTCCTTCTGTATGAGGTTGTGTCGATTTTGTCTGAAGTCACCAATATTGAAGACCTTCAGTATTTGATCGACCTTAATTTTGTCCTTTAAACAACTGTGGTGTATGACCAAAGTTATTCATGAATTCGTATGTGTGTTTCAGAGCATACCAGCAGCTATCTTATTACCAGGCCGGAATCACTTAGTTGAAATTTGAAGAATAATAAAAGAGTTCTAGTGCTACTTAGAGGAAGATTCCAGGACTAGGTACATAAATGATAAAATAAATTTCTTAACTGGTGGTGAAGAACGTGTGAGAGTCCCGAAGTGTAAGCGATGGAAAGGAAAGAGATTAAATGAGATAGAATGACTAAGTGATCCGAGGAAGTTTTAATGACACCAACTAGCTAGTTTGAGGACGTTCATCAGACGCAGCCGGTCCAAGAGGGTGATGGTAATCTGTAAGTCTGCTCGTGATTGTCAAGCCTATTCTTGAAGCTATCCAATGACGGGTCTGTGGGCACTTCATCTGCGAAAGCATTCCAAGTTGCAAAATCTCAATCATATAAGTTATGCATGAACCTGAGTATTCGCTGTTTGATGTGAATGGGAGAGAATAATTCCAAGTGTTGGGGTCTGCCTTCATACGGTTCGTTTTTCAACCTTACCACCCTTAACTCTTCGACTGGTTACGTTTTAACCCTTTGTCTACTGCCCATTCCTTAACTGATATGAGATCCTTTTAGTTCTCAGTTGGATCGCTTTCCCTTCTTAAGGACCTTCAGATCTTTTCATCTTCTGCGAAGGTTAGTGCCGCTGACTAATGACTACCAACTAGAGCACCCCTTTGAAACTTCTGACATTTAGACTGGTTAGCTCGCATAAACTATATTTACTTTGGTACAAAACTGTCTGTTGAGCAGTTAGTTTCTGAACCCAGACAGAAGCGGATAAGTGAAGCCTATCTATGTAACTTTTGCAACTAGGGGTAGATAAGGTACGGTTATGAAGGCCTTTGTGAAGTCAAATAATATTATGTTCACCGCTATATTTCAGTCACAGCAGGTTGGTCAACTGTCCCATGCTATGAGAAGGTCAGATGCAAGTGACTTACCTTTCCGAAACCCATGTTGAGTTGCATGGAGAAATTTCTTCTAATCAATGTATTATTCCATTTGATCATGCATCAGTCCTATTACCCACAACAGTATTGGAAGTATTGCAGCTAGTCTGTAGCGGACCGGATCGTTCTTATCTCCTTCTTTGAAGACGGGAAAGAAAGTAGCCTGTTTATATTAATCTTGAAGCCGGTATGTGTAAGTTTCAGAGTGGTTTCTGAATTCGGAAGAACAGTTCTAGAAGTTTAGATACACATCTTGCCAGGATATCCTAATAGAAAGCAATTTATCTGGGTAAGAAACGGTTCAATTACTAATCAAAAAAATACAAATAATTACCCAAACAATATTACACTATTCTCCATCAAAAAGAACACAATGTGTTTCCAATTTCGGAAGAATGCATCCATATAAGTCCAAAATTGCATAAAACAGTTCAGTAGAAAACGTAGAAACTCCAATAAAGGTACAAAAATAGAAACTATAACAAAATACCAATAATAACATCCCAAAATGGGATTAAACATACCACCAAAATGTAGCACAGAAATAGTCAGTAAGAACATATTACAAGTCTATACATGGAGGGATTTTTCTGAAACAAAGCCTTGAAAATGGACTCTACAGTATGAGTCCAGTAAATGTCTGAACAGGTCACTGATGGCTTCTATTACAACACTAAATCACGAATATTATTGTCAGATCTCGGTGACTTTCCTGCGTGCATAGATTTTAGTCAT